TACCTGGGGCACAATGCCCTGCTGCCCTGGCTCCTGCCGGCCCATCATGGTGTAGGATTTCCCAGCCCCGGTCTGCCCGTAGGCAAAGATGCACACGTTGTAGCCCTCAAAGGCGTGGAGCAGCATCTCCTCTCCAATGTCCCGATACACCTGTTGCTGAGATGCAAACTGGGGGTCCTCAGCCTAGGTGGAAACGGAGCAGAAAGACAGCATGAGCCCTCCGGGGCTTGGTCCTCAGTGTCTAGGCCCAGGAGGCTTGCCCCCATTGTCAAAGACCGCCCAAACGTCCGGTGTGCTTCCCACCCATCACCTCCTAACCATCCCTGGGGGTCCTAGTCCATTTCCTCCCAGTCACAAGCTGTGTCCTACCCACCCCATCCCAACTACCCTCCCAGAGGTGCTTCCCCTGCAATGCCCTCTCCTAGGACCCAAACCCCCTGTCCCTTGTTGCTTAGCTCTTCCCCCGCCCAACAACCTTACCGAAGTGTGTGACCAGTAGGAATAGTCAAAGGTGAAGCTTTTGGGGCCATCCTTGCTTTGTTTCGGATTGAAGATGGCTGAGGGGGCAGGGGAGGGCGAAGGAAGGCCAAGGTCAGGCACTCCCAACCTCTGCCCACTGCCCACAAGCCCCTGAATCCAGGCATCCTAGTACTCCCTCCTCTGTCCTAGTTCATCTCTCCCCTTTAATGCTCCCCACCCCCTCCCGCACCAAAGCTAATTTTGGCTTCCTAGGACCCGCCCCCACCAGACTGCCTCCTTGGATTGGGCAATGGAGGGCTCCAGGCCAGCATTCCCCCTCCCAGACAGGAGCACGGAAAGGCCAGCCTGCCCCAACCCCCACCCTTACAACCAGCACCTGCTCTGTGCTGGGCACAGCCCTTCACCCGGGCGCGGCCCAGCAGGACCAGCCTGTGTGGTGGGCCTGGCCCACCCCGCCTGTCCGCTGCCAGGCCCCTGGGACTCACTCACAGGTGGTGCTGCCCTGCATGCTGACCACACACTTGGCATCCTGGCTGGTCTCACGGGCATTGAAGGGCCGAACCCTCACCGCCACTTTCACTGAGGCACCCGTCATGGCTTCAGATTCTCCCACCCTCCTCAGCTGGAGGACAGACACACAAGAGATGGTTAGAGCTGCTGGGGGGACCCAGACATTAACTCTCAGCTTCTCCAAGGAACCAGTCTCTCCACCCCACCCCCCTTCCTCAGCTCCTCAACCCCCCAAGGGCCCAGTTCCTAGTTCCCTGGCCTTCCTCCCAAATGCCACGCTCCTCAGGGACTCCCAAAGGCCCTGCTAGCCATATCCCGGCTCACGGTTACCTGTCGTCCTGGCCCCAGACCAGGGGGGCTGTATCAGTTCTGGCTGCTACCGGCCCTCGTAGGGGGAGCCCCATCCTACACCTGGGGCCTGGCCACGCCAGCTGGGGCTGCGGGGGAAACCCTGGTGGTGGGGGAAGAGTGGTTAGGAGGCACCTGTAGCTCCAGAGGTGTGTTTGGGGTTGCACGATTGGAGAATAAGGGGTGGGGGGTGATGTCAGGATGGCTGTCCCTCTGGAGTGGCCCAATGCAATGTGAATCCAAGGGCAGAGACGGTGATATTTTTATTCCTCGTCACTCACAAGTGTACTAAGCGTCAGACAGAGGAGAGGCTGCACAGAGGGCAATTCTGAGAAAGGGACACAGGGGCAGAGACCCTGGGGGTGGCAGGAAGGGGGAAGAGGAGGGGCAGAAAGCCACAGATACCAAGAAAATCAGAGACACTGGAGAGAAGGCAAAAATCGAGGTCACGCTACGAAGGAAATAATGGGAGGAAAAGGAAGGAAAGGCGCAGGCCAACACACACAGAAATGGGAGGACAGGCAGGGAGGAGGGCTGCAGGGCAAAAGCACAAACGGGGAGCCCAGAAGGGAAACGAGAGGAGAGAGAATCCTAAACATAAAGCCCACCCTAAAATTCCCAAGCAGGGTCAGGGCCAGCCAGGGAGAAGCGACAGCCAGCTCCCACCCAGGGCCCACACCCTCCACACATAGGCAGGGGCTGCCAATGGGCAAAGTGCAAGGGCTGGAGGAACAGTCCAGGGCTGGGATCCACAGGGCCTGTGGCCCCAAACCCCTGGCCCAGCCCCCCAGCACTTCCTTTTCAGGATCCAGGACAATGGGCAGGGGAGGGCGGGGTCATCCTGCATCCATCCAGCCCGGGGCTCGGGGTTGGGGAAGCCAGGATACCTGTCTTTATGGGGAAGGGAGGGTAACCCTGGGGTCTGTCTCCCTGAAAAGGGGGAGAAGGGAAAGGGGCAGGCAGGTCTGGGCCCCCTGCCTGAGGCCAATGCTATGGCGTCCACTGCTCTGGGGAAGGTGCCAGACTGGAGCCCAGGAATGTGGGTGATCGGGTGCCCACACCCTGGGAGGAGAGGCTGAGCAGCCTACGCCCACGGAGGCAGGGTGGAGAGTGTGGAGAGAGACCCCGGGGATGCCGGGGCCCCTTCTGAGACCCTAAAGGGCCTCAAACTCCTGTCATGTTGGTTGGATCTCACCTCACCGGCCTTGGGGGTGGGGGCACAGAATGCGAGGGCTGGTCTGTCCCAGGGCAGGTAGGGAATAGCTGAAACTAGAGGCTTTCTCAGCAAGAACAGCCCTGACCCCCCAGATCCTGATCCCACTGGTGGGGACACTCAGGGGTTCCGCCATGGAGGCCAACGGAGCGGAGACTGGGATGGCCCGGCTCGGGGACAGCGGGGAAAGGGCTAGGGGACAGGCAGGTCAGCCAGTGCAGCGCAAAGGAGCAGGGGGTGCAGGGAGGGCCACGACTGGGGAAGGGTCGACCCACCCGAACCGAAGCCTAAAGGACCGCCTGGACCCTGCCAGCCCGGCAGTCCGCACCCAGGCCCGGTCCCCGTCCTCCGGTGCAGCCAACCGACGGCGGCCCGGGCCTGGCACCTCTCCGCGCCTCCGCGGGACAAACAGCACATGACCCGGCTCCCTGGCCAGCCGGCCCTCCCGGGTCGCGCTCACACGGGGACCCCGCTCCCGCCCCCCAGCCCGACACATTCCTCCGCGGGCGCCCCTCCCTCCCCTCCCCCAGCTCTCACTCGGCGGCGGCGGCGGCGGCGGGGCTCCCGAGCGGCCGGCACGGCGCACGGAGACAGACTTCCCGGGGAGCCGGGGGCGCGAGCGGGGCGATCCGGGGCCGGTTCGGGGCTGCCCCCGCCCCTCGCCGGGTCCCCGGGCGGCGGGCGGGCGGCCGATTCACGCCCCGCAGGCGGCTGCAGAAGCGGCGCCAGCGGCCGGCGCCCGCCCGGGCAGCGCGAGCTGGGGCGGGAGCGAGGGGCGGGGACCCGGCGGGCGGGCGCGCGCACGCGGGGGGCGCGCCGCTCGGAGCGGGGCCCGGGAGCGGCCGGAGCCGCTGTTAAAGGGGCAATGACCTCGGGACTGTGGGCCCACCGGGCGGGGGGGTGTGGGGGGGTGCGGAACCAAGTCACGGCCGCCGAAGGGCGAGCTGGACGCCGGGGTTCGGGAAGGTTCTTAGCGCCTGAGGAGCCAGAGCAGGTGGGGCGGACCCCGCAGGGGACAGGGGATAGCGCCGCGCACGCGCACGCGGCGGAGGCGCGCTCGGGGGCGTGGCCTCTCGCCGGGCCCTGCCCAGGAGGCGGCTACGCGCAGGCCCCGCCCCAGCGCGCGGCGCTGGCGGCCCCGCCCCCTTCGCCTCCGGCCTGGCGTTCTAGAACTGGAACTCGCCGGCAGCTGCCTCAGGTGCCCGGGCCAAGTGCGGGCAGCGGCGGCACAGCCACCGGCGCTCTGCTCCTGCCGCCACCTCAGGCCCAGGCCGCCCGCCCCTGCAGACCCAGGCCGTCCCCTCAGGCAGGAGCCCTCATCCATGGGGGGCCGCGTGCGGTCCTCCGACTCCCAGGCGTGGCTGCCCGCGAAGGCCTGCCCGTGCCCGTCTGGCTGCCACGCCAGGGCCGCCTTAGCCCCCTTAGGCGAAGCCACACACCGGCCTGGCCCTTCCCTCCGGGCAGGGCCGCCCACCCTCCCTCCGCAGCCCAGACCCCTCCGGCCCTCATCTGCCCAGGGAGGCCCCTACTGCACCCCGGTCAACGGCCGAGTGCTCCGTCTCCCTTCCCGAGGCCCCGGCCTGTCCCTCAGATCTAGGTCACCGTTTAGACCCAACCACCTGAGTCCGAATGGCCCTCAGCTCCCACCTGGCCCCTGAGGCCAGCTTACCCCTTCTGGCCCAGGGCTTCCCATGTAGACCCCTCCTGCCTTTTCAGCCCAACTCCATCCCACCGGCCACCTCAGCCCCACGCATCCTCTGTTCTCTCTCACCTGACTGCTGTCCAGCCCATCTGCGGTTGCCCTTGGATAAAGTTTCCAATCGGCCTCTCCTTTTATGTTTCCTACAGGCACTCTTTGCAACTGGCATCCTTACATCCCAGCTGGCTCTTGGGTTGTATTTGGCTCCCCTGCCCCTGGCTCCATGCAACTGACCTTTGAGCACCTTGACCTGTAGACATGCCCGCTCCTTCCCTGTGACCACTCTGTCCACACTTAACCAGGAATACCTTTAAAGCTCTCTTTCCTTTTTCAGGACCCACTATCCTCTTTCTAATCTCTAGGTCTGCTACTGGTCTCAACCCTCAATTCTCTAACTGCCCCCAACCACAAATTCCATACCACAATCCATAGAAACCTCTGTCCTACCTAATTTCCACCTGCCATCCCTTTTCATTTCATCATCTCCTAATTAAGGAACTTAACTGCTATTTGTAAATTTCACCTACTCTATACATTTGGCTTCAGAAAATTTATTTTCTCCTTTATCTTTTTTAAAATATATTTTATTGATTTTTTTTTCTACAGAGAGGAAAGGATAGGGATAGAGAGTCAGAAACATTGATGAGAGAGAAACATCTATCAGCTGCCTCCCACACACACACCCCCACTGGGGATGTGCCCACAACCAATGTACATGCCCCCAACCGGAATCAAACCTGGGACTCTCCAGTCTGCAGGCCGATGCTCCATCCACTGAGCCAAACCGGCTAGTGCTTCTCCTTTACCTTTTACCACATCCACGTTTCCTAGGCTCTCCATCTTCAACCTGCATATTCAGCTAATAGACATGTCTGGCACCAGGAATACCTTTAAAGCTCTCTTTCCTTTTCAGGACCCACTATCCTCTTTCTAATCTCTAGGTCTGCTACTGGTCTCATCCCTACAGCCATTTCCATGAGTGAATGACTCATTTTTCATTATCCTCCTAGCCCTCAGTCCAGCCAGCCCAGTCCAGTCATGCAGGTACAGGAAGATGGAGACAACCTCATCCCCTTTGCCAAGTGAGTCGTCCCCACCCAGTTGGGAGAACAGGGACAGGATGAAGGGAAGATTGCATGCTTGGGCTCTTTCCTAAGAAGAGTTGGAAATAAGGAACAAGAAGCTCAATGCCTGGGCTCAGGGGATTGATGACTCATTAATTTATTCAACAAATAATTTTTGAACACTGCATTGTTCCAGGCACTGTATTAGGCACCAGGGATTCAGCAAGTAGAAAGACAGGGGTCCTGTTCAAAGGGCTTACATTCAAGAAGGAGGAGACAGAATATGCAAATAAACCTCATTTCAACTAGTGAAAAATTAAAAAAACGAGAGTGTAATAGGAAAATAGAATGTAGTGAGGTGATTGTGAAAGACTGTTCTAGGGAGGTGAATTTAAATTGAAATCTGAACAATGAGAAGGGGCCAGTCTGATAAGAACCACTGGGGAGAAAACGGAATCGTAGGTTTTATTTTTTTACTTCTTTGGAAGGGAGAGAGGGGGAGAGGAAGAGAGAGAGAATGATAATTGATTGAATGTCTCCTGCTCGAGGCCTGACTGGGGCTGGGATCAAACTCAAAGACCCTTCAGCGTGAGGGCCGTGGCTCTGACCATTGGGGAGCACCAGCCAGGGAGGAATAGCAGGTCTTTTAAAGCTCCCAGAAACAGGCTTGGTATCTCTAGGACCAAGATCAGGCCAGTGTAACAGAAACTTAGGGATGAGAGAAATACAGACAGTAAATTCAGACAGGCAGATGACCTAGTAGGCCATTGAAAAGAGTTTGGATTTAACTCCAAGTACAGTAGAAATCAGTGGAAGTTGGTGTTTTTTTTAACCCTCACCTGAGATTTTTTCCATTGATTTTTAAAGAGAATAGAATGGAGGAGGAGAGACAGAAACATCCATGTGATAGAGACACATCAATTGGTTGCCTCCCACATGTCCCAGATCAGGGCTGGGGATCCAGCCTGCAACCCAGGTAGGTACTTGACCGGAATAAAATCTGAGACCCTTCAGTCCTCGGACCAATGCTCCAAGCACTAGAAAAACCAGGTAGGGCAATCAGTGGAAGTTTTTAAGCAAGGAAATAACTGCAGGCTTTTTTTTTTTTTTTCTTCAACTTTTTTATTACAGAAAATTTAAACAAATACAGAAGTAGAGAAGGTAGCAAAATGAACTCAGCTACAATAATTGTCATTATGTGGATAATCATCTCATCTGTATCCTCACCCAGCCTCCTACTACTCAGATTATTTTGAAGTAAATCTCAAATTATACATCATTTCACATGATCACTTCTAAAAGATCACTCAAGCTGTTCTGTGAAGAGTAGTTTGTAAGGATCAGATAGAAAGAGGCCATTGCAATAGTCCAGGCAGTGTAGCAGATGAGCTGGAATATGGTGATGGGAGTGGAAATGAGGAGGAGTGGTCAAATATGGGTATATTTTAGATGTAGAATTGATAGGACTTGCTGATAGATTTGGAAGGTGAGGGAAAAGGAGGTATACAGGTTTGGGGCTCTAAAAACTGGGCATTAGGGGCCTTTCAGTGAGATGGGAAGGCTAAGAAGATGTTGAGTGGGCAGTTGAACCTGCAAGTCTGGAGTTCAGGAAAGAGGCCGGCTAGAAACACAGATTTGGGCGTCATTAGTGGTATTTAAAGTTATAGGGGCAGGGGGAGATTAAGTCATGGGCCTGACTGAGATCACCTAAGGAGGGATGGGAATGGAGAAGATGGAGGGCTCAGGTCTAAGCCCTCAGACACTCTCCTCCTAGAGAGCAGGAGAGCAGTCATCATTCAATCCGCAGGCTTGGAGGTGAGGAGCACTGATCTCAAACAGCTCCGAAATTCCCTCACCACCTTCAAAGACATTAGTCTTCCTGAGATAGGGGAGGCGAAGCAGGAGTAAACAGGAATTCTGCTCTCCTGCATCCTTGCATTAACCTGTCAATCATCATCTGAATAGCTGATCGCTGGGCCTTCCTATTTAACAGCCCCGCTTGCTAAATATGTTGTTCTCTGGTTGTGGGGTGTAGCAGCTTGAGATTCAGTGAGATCTGAGGCTCAACAATAGCCAATCTCCACCCTCATCCCAGCTCCAATCTCCTTTCAAATCAGAGGCTTTACCACCTTCCTCAGCTAAAATGGATTAAGTGGGGACATAGCCTGTGAGCGTCTGAGTAGTTGTAAGGTCTCATGGAAAGACAGGGCCTCTGGCTCTAGCCATTTGGCTCACTGGATAGAGTGCCAGCCTGCAGACCAAAGGGTCCCGGGTTTGATTCTGGCCAAGGTCATATACCTTGAAAAAAAAGGGGGGGGGGGAGCACATACCTTGGTTGCAGGCTCCTCCCCAGCCCAGGGATCCTGGTAGGGGCACATCCAGAAGGCAACCAATCAATGTGTCTCTTTCACATAGATATTTCTGTCTTTCCCTCTCTCTTCCACTCCCTAAAAATCAATGGAAAAATATCCTCGGGTGAGGATTAACTAAAAATAAATAATAAATAAATAAGACAGGGCCTCTGAATCCCTGGGGTGAGTAGATATAAGGGCAGAGCCAGACCCTAGCCTACCTTGTCCTCACCTCAGGTGTTCCAGAGTGGTCAGCCGATCTTCACCCCCAAGCTTGCCTTCCCAGAGCCTCAGACTGACACCCCAGCGTTATGGAGACATCTTCTGGGACAACCTTAGTCAAAGGCCCAGGTGGGTAGAAATGGAGAAAATGAGGACTAACTGGAGGTGGGAAGGTGAGGCTGTACAATTTTTTTTAAATATATATTTTATTGATTTTTTTAGAGAGAGGAATAGAGAGCTAGAAACATCAACCAGCTGCCTCCTGCATGCTCCCCACTGGGGATGTGCCCACAACCAATGTACATGCCCTTGACCAGAATCAAACCTGGGACCAACTGGTTCAAAGACCAGTCCCCTGGTCCAGGAAGGATCTTTCCTCTCCAGGCAGCTTCAGTCTGCAGACCAATGCTCTATCCACTGCGCCAAACCGGTTTCGGCGAGGCTGTACAATTTTTAACACTCATAAAGCTTTACAGTCCTGGCCGGTGTGGCTCAGTTAGCTGGAACAAGGAGAGGTGACAGGTTTGATCCCTGGTTGGCACAAGCGAGGAGGCAACCGATCAATGTTTCTCTCTCCCTTCTTCTCACTCCAAAGTCAATAAAAGCATGTCCTCAGGTGAGGATTAAGGGGGAAAGCTCTATGGCAATATGCACTAGTCTGGGAATAACTGCCTCGCTGGCTGATGGTAGCTCCTAATGCCAGATAAACAGGTGGTTGGGAGGGATCTTTAGAGAAACAACCCGGGTGGGGGTGCCTCTCTGCACTTAGCCCCCTTTCTTGTGCTTCACAGCTCCACCTGGATGGAAGAACAGTGCACCCCACCCCTGCTGGTATGACAGATTTTCTGCCCCTCACTACTCCCCAGTTAAAACTGCACCCCAGCTCTCCTAGTCTATGTCCCCTCTAGTGCCCCCCAACCAAAGCACGGAGCAGGCCCTCCTATCTATCAGTCGTGTTTTCCTGATCACAGCCGTTTTCGTGATCTGAGCTTCCCAAGACCCTGGACTCCCTATGTCAGTCGAAGCTCCCCGGAGAGCCCCAGTTCTGCCATCTCTCTCCTTTCCCCTTCTTCGGCACAGGGAGCCACTGGTTCTTCCCAGCCTGGCGTGTACGGCCCTGAGGGGCTCCCACCCCCTGAGCTGCTCTTCAGAAGAACGAGAAGGAGGTCCTATTTGGCAGGAATGCAGGGACGTGGGGGCATCCCAGCCCGAGTAAGGGCTGTCACTTACCACCTGGAGGACCTAAGGAGGCGACAGCGAATCATCAATGAGTAAGGAGAGACATCTGGGCTCCGGGCCCCTAGCAGGGTTTGGAGGCAGAATGGTTTGAGCTAAGGAAGGGGTGGACGATTTTGAAGGAATTGGAGGTTGTTTGGGAATGAATCATGAACTTGGTGGGACTGCAGCAGAATTTCCATAATGTGGGAAGGAGGGAACTAAGGGATGGTGCATGAGCCATAGGAGCTGGAAGAAGTGGAAACTGGATCACTAAGCACAGAAAAGCACTCCAGAGAACTGGAGGATCGTGGGCAGCTGGTGGTCACCTCTGAGTTCTTGGACCAAAAACACTTCAGTCTGAGGGGAGCAGACAGTGGGAGTGGAGCGTTGGAAGTCAAAGGACAATGCCCCTGGGTCCCAGCTTGCAGTGTTTTAGGACAGAAAGGTGAGGAATGGAGAGACCGGAAGTGGCCTCCAGGCACCCCTGCTAAGCCTAAAATCTCCACAGACTAAAGAAGGCCCAGTGGAGCAGCTCTGGCGCTGCAGCCGAGCCCCCGGTGCCAGGCGAGGCGAGCTGTGGGCTCCCCAGCACCAGCGAGCGCCCTGATCTGGAAGAGGAGGGGGCAGCCTTCCCACAGGAAGAACACGTCCTCCCTCCTGGCAGGGCCCAGGTCCGGTCCGAGAGGAACCCGGAGGGGGGATGGAGGGTGATGTGGGTGCCGGGGCTTGTATGGAGAGGCATCGGAAGCCAAGAGCCAAGTTGGCTTGCTGGGTTTGAGGGGAACAAATCAGAGATGTGGGGGTATCTGGGTATGGGCACTGGGAAATCTGGAGGGACATACTTTTCTTTCTTTTTTCAATCTTTCTCTTCTTTGCAGCTGCTTTGGTCTCCCTGGAGTCCCCTGGTCCAGGAAGGATCTTTCCTCTCCAGGCAGCTGAGCTCTCTGACCCCCTGCAGCGCTTTCAGAGCCAGTAGGAACCCCCTTTCCAGTACCTGGGGGATGGAGCTGCCCGAGGAATAAGGAAGAACCCTAAGGAAGGCTCCGCAGACTGAAGAGGCCCATGGATGGTAAAGAAACCATCCTGCCTATCCAACAATGCTGGCGCTGCCTCAGGGACCCAAGCCGCCTCCTTGTCGCTGGAATCACCCCCAAAGGCGTTTCCCCGTTTTTAGTCCTTAGCCTCTCCAGCTTCCCCTCCCATCTCTGCACTGGGCACTAACAGCCCCCGGGCCCCCCCTCAGCCCCCCCCCCCCCCCAGCTCCCAGGCCGGTGGACAGCCTCGCTCCCCGCAGCGTTCTTTTCCCGGGTCTTTCATTAAAAGGAAAACACGTTGAGCCCAGAGTTGTCTTTCCGGGAAGCAGTGATGGAAAGGCTCGTGGGCAAGCTACAATGAAGTCGGGCTGGGTCCCCGAAAGTCAAGGAATCATGCTCTGGGCGAGAAGTCTGCCCCCCAAGTCCAGCGCTCCTCGCCCAGCACCGGGCAGCCCCCGCGTCCCACCGTCACGCCAGCGGGACGAGCTTCCGCCTCCGGGACCCCGGGACCCTGCCCTCCACCCCGCTGCCTCCTCAGGGGCTTCCCGGCACTGAGTCCACCCGCCAGCGCCCCACCCGGAGCCCCACGGCGGCACCGGTTCCCTCCGCGACCCTCTTCCCTTAACTGGGAGCCCCGCCCCGTGCGCAGTGACGTCGGACGCCGCTGTCAGCCGGCGCTGGGGGGGGTCGGTGTGGGGTAGAATGGCCGCTGCCGCCGTCACCTGCGGGACCCCGGGAGGTAAGAGCCAGGGCCTCTGGCCCGCCTCCCCGCCCCCGCGCCAGGGGGCGCAGCTCCACCGGCCCCGCCGCGGCGCCGCGCGGAGACCACCGCCCTCCTCCTGCCGCTCCTCCCGCTTCCGTCCTCCTCCCCCGCGCCGGGAGCCGCTCCGCCCAGGGCCCCACCGCGGACCTGCGCGCGGGGACTGCCTAAGGGACCCCCGGGCCCCCACGGCCCCTCGGGCGCCGCGCGCCCGCGGACTCTGCTCCATAGCTTCCCCAGAACATCCCTCCCTCCCTGCGGACTGGAGGCAGGACCCTCCCAGCTCCGAGCTTCTCTGGGGACCACTGCCCCCCGCGGGGGGCCGCCCTGGGCCCGCCCCGCACCCTAGTGGGCGGCCTCGCCCGGACTGTGCACCTGCGCCCTGGGCGGAGTCCTCACCCCAACCCACGCAGCCGAGCTCGGAGGGGCCTCCTCCCCCTCTTCATCCTCGGACACCTGGCGGAGCCCGCACTGACAGCCTCCTCCAGCTCCATCTGTTCCCCCGGGAGGGTGGGGGCTCAGGCTGGAGCGGGGTGTAGATGGGGTAGGGTCCGCTGGAGGCCGGGGCAGCAGAGGCTTCTGGGGAGGGTGGGGAGAGAGGTGGGTGAAGGGTGGAGAGGGCTGTCAGCCTCTGGATTGTCCTGAGGGTGGGAAGCTGGGTCGTGGGTGACTATCCCAGGTTGTCCCAGGCCTTGACCATCCTGGACCAGAGCGAGAGGTGAGGAAAGGTTGTCAGATCTGTCTTTCCTCTTGGAAAAATCAAATAGAGAAGGGACTCAGGGTGTGTCTTCTAAGGCCTCGCTCTCCACTGGACTTAGATCTCCTGCCCAACGCCCAACCCCCAGCATCCAGGCTCTCATTTGCCAAACCATTCTCCAAGGACCGGATGCCCTGAGTCCCAGTCCCCAGGACCTGACCCCGCCAAAGCCCCAGCCTCCTCCAGAGCCTACGCTGTAGGACCTGTAGGACGCCAGTCCCGTCGGTGTCTCCCCTCCTCCACCCTGATTACTGACTCTTCCTGATTACTCTTCTGTCGTGGGCCCCGCTCACGTTGGTTCCTGGCACCAGGTCTGGGCTCTCCCCCTCCCCCACTCTCACATCAGAGCCTATCCCCTTCCTTCCTCTCTTCCTCTTCTCTCCCATGGCCCAGTTCTGCGCTGCCTCTCCCACCTCATCCTGGATAAGTGTGAGGGCTTCGGCCGTGACCTGTTCTCTCTTATCCCAGCACAGACTCCCCCTCCCCCCGGCCCCTCCGGCCAGGGGTGACCTTGCCCCTGGAGCCCTCACCATGAGTACCAAGGACACCACCGAGGTTGCTGGTGAGTCGACAATCCAGGTTCCCACTTGGGACACAACCTCCCTCCCTCCCGGCCCTGAGGCGCCTGTGGTTCTCGGACTCCCTGCTATCCAGTCCTCCCAGTGCTCTGGATTCGGCCCTTTGCCCTGGGCCCGCACCCTGAGCCCTCCTTTCTAATTTCCTCCAGAGAACAGCCACCACCTGAAGATCTTCCTCCCGAAGAAGCTGTTGGAGTGTCTTCCTCGATGTCCACTGCTGCCTCCAGAGCGGCTGCGGTGGAATACAAATGAGGTTTCCTAGGGAGCTTGGGGGATCGGGGCGTAGCAAGGCCTGGTGAGAGGGAATGAGGGTCTCCCAAGTGCAGAGCACTGTTCCCCGCTCTTTGGGCGTCCCAGGGGAGGTATAAAGACCTGCATCTTGTAGGAACTCACTTCTTGGCATGGCCACCTGAGTAAGAATAATAGCTACCACCTCCACAGTATTTCTTACAAACCGGGTACTGCGTTAAGCACTTGACCTCCACTATCTCATGCTGCAGCTCTGATGATGCTATCTCTAGAGCAAGCACGGTTATCCCCATGGTGTAGATGAGGAAATGACTTACCCCATGTGCTTTTCTGACTCGCTCCAGAGCTCCTCTTTTTTTAATATATTTTATTGGTTTTTTACAGAGAGGAAGGGAGAGAGATAGAGAGCTAGAAACGTCGATGAGAGAGAAACATTGCCTCTTGCACACCCCCTACCGAGGATGTGCCCGCAACCAAGGTACATGCCCTTGACCGGAATCGAACCCGGGACCTTTCAGTCCGCAGACTGACGCTCTACCACTGAGCCAAACCGGTTTCAGCCAAAGCTCCTCTTTTAACCACCACTTATGCTTTGCTCCTTCTGGAGGGCACGTCCTGTGTTACACACCTTCTGTGCTCCCTCCTCCCAGTGCTTTGTATGTACTTGGTGGTTGATCATTATTGATTTGATTATTGGACTAGAAGAGGACTGTCAGTCAAAAGGGGTGTGTGTGTGTGTGTGTGTGTGTGTGATTGTTAGGGCCACAGCACTTCATGGAGCTCTGGGAAGGGATTTGGTCAATGAATGGCTAGGATTTCCCGACTCAAAGATGTGTACATGGCACTTCAGACTTGTACAGTGCTAACACTGAGGATATTGCTGCTCAGTTCAGGGAAGAATCGGTGGTTCAGTCTGGCAGGAATGGTAGGTGCAGTGGTAGGTGAATGTATGATAGGAGCGATGGTTTGATCCCTGGTCAGGGAGGACCTTGGAGTCAGGCTGAAGAATCTGGAATTCCTGGTGAAGTTTTCTGAGTCAGGAAGTGGCACAAAAGTGGAATTTGGAGAGTAAAATAATGATGAACAAAGAATGACGAAGAGCTTGGGTCTGGCCCCAAGGTAAAAGCCCCAGTTGGAGGGGAGGGAGGGAGTCAGGCTGATGGAATTCCAGAGGTTAGACTTTTGTTTGCGATGGAACCTGGGATTCTTAGAAGGGCATGAGCCTTGCTGGGTCCAGAGAGCTGGCAGCATCCTCCATTAGCTGCCAGAATTCAGTAGAGAGAGACCCTGAGGGGTGGCCAAGAGGCCAGTCTGAGACTGGTTGCAGGGGACACCCACCTGAGTTCCTCCTCTTCCACAGGAGATTGCATCCTACTTGATCACCTTTGAGAAGCATGAGGAGTGGCTGTCCTGTGCCCCAAAGACAAGGTGAGAAAGTTCGTGAAGGTGCGAGTGGCAGGGGTCCTGGGTTTTGTTCATGGAACTCAAGGCCAACCCTACCTCCTGCCTTCAGGCCTCAGAATGGCTCCATCATCCTCTACAACCGCAAGAAGGTGAAATACCGGAAGGATGGCTACCTCTGGAAGAAGCGGAAGGATGGGAAGACCACCCGAGAGGACCACATGAAGCTGAAGGTCCAGGGCATGGAGGTAAGCGAGGCATCCTGCTCACCTGCCACGGCCCGCCCTTCTCAGCCCTTAGCTGGGTTCCAGCCCCATCAGGACTTGGGACCATTGTCTGCCTCGCCACCCTCCCTTCTCACTCGCTTTGCATCAGCTGGCTGATAGCCCACCCTCCACACCCCATTTCCCTCCACATCCCGGCTCTGCAGCCCTTAGGGTGTGCCTCCCCTGGAGGACACCAATGCCCAGCCCCCTCACCTCACTTGCATTTCCCTCGGGGGTCCAAGCACAGGTTTATCTTCCCCAAATCATTGCTCCTCATCTCAGTTGTGTTCTTGCCCCGCCCTCGGATTTCCAGATAGTCCTATATCTCAAATGTGATCCTCATCCTGAGGCCCGGGGCCCAGTGTGCCCTCCTCCTGCCTCTCACCCGTGACTGGGGGGGCTGGGTCTTTGAAGGGGTGGGGAAGGGGTGGGGGTGGGTCGGGGTGAAGAGGAGCTGGTGGGAAGATTGGGATTCCTGCAAAGGGACTGAACAGAGGAAGAGTTGGGGAGCAGACTAGCCCTCCCCCCACCCCAGCCTGTCTCCTGGCAGTGTCTCTATGGCTGCTACGTTCACTCTTCCATCGTCCCCACATTCCATCGGCGCTGCTACTGGCTGCTCCAGGTAAGGACGGGAGCGCTCAGGGAGGCACCCTCTTCCTGGCTCTTTGAGGGACATGGAGTCTGGAAGGGCGCAGTGAAGGGTGGCTAGTTCTGAGTGGGTAAAGGGGCTTGGTTGGCGGGGAGTTTGGGATAGAGAGAACCAGAACTTGGGGATGGAGTGGGCGGTTCCGGGGGGAAAAATGAAGACCAGGAAGCCAAGCCCTTGGATCTCAGGGCCCCATCGTGCTCTGTGTGTGTGCCCTGTGCCCTCAGAACCCGGACATCGTCCTTGTGCACTACCTGAACGTCCCCGCCCTGGAGGATTGTGGAAAGGGCTGCAGCCCCATCTTCTGTTCCATCAGCAGCGACCGGCGAGAGTGGCTCAAGTGGTCCCGGGAGGAGTTGTTGGGACAGCTGAAGCCCATGTGTAAGGCAGCAGGGCTAGGACGGTGCTCCCAGGGAGAGTGGAAACAGGGCCCTCCCAGAGGCACCAGGAGCCTGTGGGGTGACTATGTCCGTCTAAGCCAGAGGGAGCTTTCCTGCGGGGGTGTTAGGCCTCCTGGCGAGTTCTCACATGGAGAAGGGACAGCTGTGAACTACAGATGCAAGCAGTCTCGAGG